TGGAGGAGCCGCCAATTCTGCAGCTACTCAAGAATATCCCAGCATTTTATGGAACCCAAAGGTTCATTACCGTGTTCACAAGAGCCCTCCACTGGTCCAATCAATACCATCACATCCTATCTCTCTAAGATACATTTTAATATTGTCCACCCACCTATGCCTTGGTCTTCCCAGTTGTCTCTTTCCTTCTGGCTTTCCCACCAATATCCTATACGCACTCCTCCTCTCCCCCATTCGTGCTACATGCCCTGCCCACCGCATCCTCCTTGACTTGATCATTCTAAATTTTCATAGGAATGAAAATTTTAATTCTTATGTAATTTGAAGGGTCTTTATATATATAATTAGGCAATGTTGACATAACAGAGAAAATCAAATTTTTATACAGCCGGTAAATTATAAAAATAACAAGACAGGTACAAATATTTTACGATGCTTTGCCACTGACTAAAAGTATTAATTTTAAACTTACGATGTATATCTGGGTCTCCTGAACTGAGCGACAGAAGGGCTGGGTCTGGTAATAGGTGCTAGGAACCAGATTACCACCACAGCTTCCTGTCTACGGACTTTGAAATTTACCACATCCGGTTCACGGTTACACGAGTTCGAATTAAATTTACATTGTTACAACAGAACAGGTCTTCAGACTGTAACAACTACCAATGCAAATACATTCAAATGCAACTAACAAGGTTACAATATTTTCAGACGCAGAACGCAGAGCTCTGCGGATTAAAGAGAAAGAAATGAATAAGAAGAGGAGGGAAACGGCGAGGAAGACGACGGAGGAGAAGCTAAGGCAAAGAAAGAAATATATAAGAAGAGAGAAAATATGGAGAAAAAGATAAAAGAGGTACAAGACAGGAAGGAGGTGAAAGAAAGCCAGAAGAGCATAGAAGATGGAAAAAAAGGAGGGCGGAAGGGATAAGATAAGAGACGAATTACAGAAAAGTGGAAGGATATCGAGGGCAGAAGATGAAAAAACGAAACAACAGATAAAGAAAAAGGGGAATAAGGAGATGAGGTAAGGGATACACAAGAAGAGGAAGAGGATGTAGGAAACAGGAGATGGAGAAAAGAAATGAAGAAAAAATAAGGAAGTAGGTAAGAAAAACACAGATGGAGAAGGAAACAGGAGAGGAAACGTATAAGGACGTGACAAGGCAAGGAAAGAGATAAGAGGAGGTTCTGACGAAGACGAAAGAGAAGGATACCAGATACAGACGAAAAGGAAAGAGAAAGGCAAGGAAAGAAGAAGAGGAATTTTTAATTACAAGCGATATTTAATTCGTATTATCGAGGTGCATTTGTGATTTATCTCTATATAAAAACGTCGCATTCCCAGCTCAAATACTTCGTAAGTTATTGACACCACACCGAAAACTATCGAAAATTTTCTCACGTCGCCATGCCCTATTTATTACATTCTACAAAAGACTGCGTTAACAGAAGGTGCGCGTACTTCGAAGACCTATTACCATATGTAATTTCAAGTCAATATATGAAGTACGACTGTGGTTAATTCAGCCTATAAGTTCGTACGTTCGCCATATTGTTACTACGTATTGCAGGAATTTAAAAATATGATATTGCAGTGGCATCTAGTGACATAACGTTGGTACTAAATTTCGTGAAAATAGGTAAACTGGTTAAAAATATGTTGAAAAAGTGGACTCGTAGACAGCAGGATGACCTCATAAACCCACATCATTCTTTAATGAAGGAAAATGGTAAAACGGTAAAACTATCCCTGTAACAGGCCGTGAAGGCCCATAGGGTTGTGAGACGTCGAGGCTCTCATATTTTCTCTAAACAATCGGCTCACAGATGGCGGAAACATTCCAGGTACTCATTTCTATTACAGGCTGAGTCGACCACAGGTCTATAGTGCGGCTGGAATGATTAAGTCAATCGAGAAATCCACCTCATCGGGACTCAAACCCGCGACCTTCCGGCTTGTAGCACAGTTCCTCAACCAAGTACCGCGCGCCCGTAGAAAAATGAAGAAGATAAGAAAATTTCTTGCCATATTTTAAATAAGACTGTTTGTCGCACATCAGCTATCGTCTCTGCGCTGGCCACTTGACGTTAATGCATGAAGAGATTATAAAGAGAATCTGACACCCTAATAACCATCACTTTCAATTATATGACTCCGAAATACAGAAGAGGCAACCTGTTCGTTATGCTATTATTATGTATGACTGCATCTCTCAGTGGATATTCATGCTTAGAATAATTCATGGGTGTGTGGACATATTTAAATAGATCTCATCATTACATTCTTGGTGAAAATAATTACGCCATCCACAACAAAGAAGCAAGACCGCTATCAAACTAAAGGCGGTTACAATGTAACGTCACACAGAGACAGAAAAACTTTAAGCCTTTATGGAGGTCTATATTCGTTGCAGTGTTTCTTGGGTATTGAAATATGTAAAACTATCAAAGATTATCAGAGTACGACCCTGAAGAATAGGCAGAAAATTCTTCTTAATATCTGTCATTTTTATCACCCGAACGCAGGGCAACAAGCAAAAAATTTTAGAACCAATAAACTTCAAATTCCTACATTCTATATTCAACTATTTTCATTTTTCAAACTGCGAAATATGTAAAGGCAAAGGCGATGATATCCCTGTAAAAGGCCGTGAAGGCCCAATGGGTTATGAGAGGTTGAGGCTCCCACATTTTCTCTAGACAATTGGCTTACAGATGGCGGCAAGGTTGTCAGCCTTGCGTGCCGGCCGCCCTTTACCCTCAAGAATATTCCTGGTACTCATTTCTGTTAGAGGCTGAGTCGACCCCAGGGCCGTAGTGCGGCTGGAAGGATTAGGTAAATTGAAAAAATCCAATGACCTCATCGGGATTCGATCCCGCGACCTTCCGGCTTATAACATAGTGCCTCAACCAACTACGCTAAGTATAAAGAAGCGAAAATGCGATTGCGTTCTATCTGATCAGGGTCATCAAGCACTTCTCGAGATGATGATAGGTGAGTATGGGCAATGTTGGAATGGTGATTGGTAGGGGAAACCCATTTAACTCCGTCCACCTCAAATCTCGCATTAAGTAACTCGGAACTGAATCCAGGACACTTCAGTGAGAAGCCTGCCATCTACTCAAGACAGTTTAACGCATTACCCTTCGATATGTACACCTTGCGTAATGTATCGAGTTACCCGTCAACATTTACGAAGCATGTAGCACTTCAATTGAGAGAAAGGTTCAGAAGGTCCTCTCAGAGCGTAACTCAACTCCTCCTTCCTTACCGGTTTGGTCTGGCTATTAAACTTAATAAAAAGTATATAAAGAATTCAACGCCTGTGTTCTGTAGTGTTATGATCACTTGATAGAATAGGAGTGGTGTGATGTATTGTGCAGATAGTGTCTGTCTGAAGGATGAGGCTCCGTATTCACATGAACCAGTTATGAATGACTTGCTAACAGTGGACTCTCTTCTCAGTACACATTTTTAATTTTAATGGTTCCTTTCCAAACATAGAATAACGTAACGTGATGATATGACTACAGACGGGGTAAGGATTGGTAATTCGATTTATTAACCGTTTACAGATCGTAACTACATGTAACTATATAGAAAGCGCTATTTCCACAATTTACAGTTCACTATAGGCATAACAGATCACTGTGGGCGCGGTGCAAGGGCCAAGAAGGCCCACCCCTTATACATTCATTACAGTTCACTATAGCACATATTAAACCTTCTCAATCTGCTATGTCTTCACCAGTCGTTGTCTGGTAACGGTTTTCAACGCCGTAGATCCCTCAATTTCCGTGTTCACGTTGTTGCTGGCCGACGACTGTCTCGCAACTGATTAAAATCTAGACTTGTCCTGTTTATAACACCCTGGCACGGACCGTATGGAAAACATGTCTCGGAACAGTTCTTCTGTTATTCCTTCACGCAGCTGTTGGACGGATCGCGTAGAGAACACCGCTTCCCAGTTACTCCATTGGTGCGTGTTAGTAATCTACTGCGGTCATGACCTAGCAACGGTCGTTGCTTAAAAAGTCATTATCAACAACCGATCTATATGCTACAATATATTTGACATCATTAAGTATTTCTGTGATGTAACATCAAATTTTTATTTTATTTTAATTACTTTCTTTGAGGAAGCAATTAATATTTTAGATAGTGTAATGTCGAACGTGATGAAAATGAATGATGACCTGTAAAGGGGCCCATACACGTACGAGTCTGGCTCGGCAAACTTGGGAGTCGGGCTCTGATTAATTTCACCACAAACGTATGAGCTGACTCCCAACATTGCGACCCACACACGGACGAGTTTGGATCATTGGAACCCGAGCCGAGTAGGACTCGCGAGCCAGACTCGTACGTGTATGGACCCCTTAAAGCTTTCGTGGCCTCATTTTGTACTTATTCCGGAATTTACTTGGAGGACCTAAGGGAAACCAGCAAATTCTCTTACTCAGGATATTCGGTGTTTAGGCAGGGATTCAATCCGAACATATCCCGAACACAAGCATGCTCGAGCCTGCTTCCTCGATGACACTATGTACTTTTATGAACAGGCATCTGTGTTTCGGAGGATACTGCTTCATCTGTCTTCAGGATATAACTATACTGCAATGAAGACGAAAGCAGAGGGGTTTTCCAAAACGTTGGTGACTATCTACCTAGTTACACGGCGTCATATCCTAGAATGTTTATATCAAATCCTATGAGACCGCAAATCTGACGGACCATATAGTGATTTGAAACCTTTCACGGGTCAACAACATAGCAGTGGCCTATCTGTAACAAACTGTACACTAAATCCAACAGAAATAGTCTAAAAATACAATACTTACTATCACGCATACACGTGTGTACTTACAATGTAATACTTAGCTTTTACGTAGTACTAATACCCAAGAGACGTCATAATTTTTCGCAATGAATTTTCATAATTAACATTTATGAAATAAGCCATTCAAAACATAATAATACAATTATTTAGACATACGTGTCTTCCAAGGACCTGGCATTTGTATCTCGTAAACACCTTCCTCCACTCCTGAGGGACGCAACGACCAAGCACAAAACTGAAACAAAAGGAAAATAGGAAACATTCAACAATAACTCTACTGTCGCTAAGAGGAGCAGTTCCGAGCAGAACCCATTAACTGTACATTCATATTCAACAGACCTTCAGGCCTACAAACCTTGTGTTCCTGCGCTGTATTCAGGCAACGTAAGTTTGTAATCCACAAATAAAACAAAATTCATCCCATGCGTTGACACGCTCAGCCTGTATGCAAATGGCCATACAGTCGAATACTAATCGAAATGTTTGTTTATTGCTTGCAACCGTATGTTGTACTGCTGCTACTGCTACTGGGGTCAAGGGGAAGCGTAGTTGGTTGAGGCACTATGCTGGAAGGTCGCGGGTTCAAGTCCTCATGAGGTCATTGGATTTTTTCAATTGACCTAATCCTTCCAGCCGGACTCTGGCCCCGGGGTCGACTCAGCCTCTAACAGAAATGAGTACCATAAATTAATTTTCCTGAGGAGTAAAGCGCGGCCGGCGCGTAAGGCTGACAACTTTACCGCCATCTTTGAGCAGATTGTCTAGAAAATGCNATAACTGTCCTTACTGATGAAGACCGCCTAAAATAACAACAAAACTCTTCAGTAATATGAAACATTTGTTACTACTACTACTACCACTACTACCACCACCACCACCACCACCACCACCACGACTGCTACTAATACTGGGCACTACTACTGCTACCACAAACACTACTACTACTATTGGCCTTGTGGCTGCTGTCTTCCTCTGTGGTGTCATTACCAATATCTCCACCGTGCTATTTCTGTAACTGGCCTTGTAGCTGTCGATTCGGCATATAAATAATATAGATTTTAATTTAAATTAATTATTACTTTCGCTGTTATCTGTTTGAATGAATGTGTTACTTAGGAACAGATTTTCCTACGGATGAGGTCTGTTTTAATGATTTATCCAGGGTGTTCCAGGAGGGGAGGTCACAGTATCGATCATCCTATGAAAACAGTGTATATGTACATGTGTCCTATTCCGAAAGACTTCCGAGATAGAGCTATTTCTCTTTACAGTTCTAAAATTATTGATAAGAGAGATATTACGTACTATTTACAATACCGGTATTTATTGTCACAAGTGACAAAGCTGGTACAGTTTACCTAGTAGGATACAACTTCGAAAATTCCACCGTCAACATCAATGTACTTTGCAACACGTGTGAGGACATGGCGTGTTGCTCGTCTGTACAGTGTACAGTGTACTGTACAGTGAAATAGCTCTATCTCGGTGCAACTCGTGTGAGGACATGGCGTGTTGCTCGTCTGTACAGTGTACA